GACACGCGCCCCACACAATTTGGAGCACAGACCGACCATCTCATTGACCCCGAATTGTTGCGACAGTTGAATGCCAAGAGAGACGTTGTTAGTAATTTAAAGAACTCATCTAGTTGTTTGCCGCACCTCTCGAACAATTTCTAAACCCTCAAACTTTACAATGAACCTAGCTTGTGAACGCGTACGAACAAATTGCACAGGCACTTAGAGCTGCAGCAAAGGCATGCGATGAATTCCAAGCGCTTATTCCGAGAGACGTGGGCATTGTCCCAAGCGAGACACATGCATCATCTATTGGACACCAACCCAGGAAATTCAAGAAACCTCAGATTAAGGATCCAAATGCACCCAAACGACCGAACACTGCATACATCCTTTTTAGTAATGAAATTCGTGCAGAGACCAAGGCAGACAATCCTCACGCTAATCAAAAAGAAATTGTTACACTTATCGGACAAAAGTGGAAAGCTTTATCTCGCGAACAGAAGAAGGTAAATTGAACGCCTTTATATTCACATCTATAAATTCCTATGAAGGACCAACCGTCTCAATGGAGGCGGTCATTATATCATTGCACATATTTTTAGGTTTACGAAGACCGATATTTCGCCGATAAAGAACGATACGACGAAGAACTTCGTGCATATCGTGCGACACATGGTCACGTGGAATCACCACCTGAAACTTCGTCGAATGAAGACAACGGTGATCAAAACGCACCCGGGGTAGCCTCATCATCAAAACAAGCCATCTCATCCAATACCTTTGTATCTCACATCCCCATTGTCCCCACGTCAGAGAATCCCATTATGACGGGTAGTATCTCGGTACCACCGACAGAGGCTGAAACTACTGCATTGATGGAGACCATCACTGATGCCTTCCTAAAGGATGTGACAGATGCCGATCAAAATGCGTTTATTGAATCGGCGGCAGAAGTTATTCAGACAACCGCGTCAACATCATTTCCAGAGAGTTCGAAGAAACGATCTTCTAATCTGGATTCAGAAGAAGCATCAAAACAAGACGGAACAGTATCGACAGCAAAGAGGACACGAGCTTCCTCAAAAAAAGTGATGGAATCTGAAGATGTTTTCAACCCTCCAGGCGAACCGGAGATCATTGGTGAACCAGAGGAGGTCACAAACACACCGAAAAGGACGAGAACAAAGCGAGGCGCTTCTAACGGATCTACGACAACTCCAACCAAGACTATCACTTCCACTCGTACTAGACGTGGTGGCAAATCTTAATACCTCAGAAACCAAATATAACTAAATTGAAACGTATCGATCCAGGATCAATTTATTTTTTTTTCATTTGTCGTTCATTAATAATTCATTTCACATATATATTATTTACAGTGCATTTTTTTTTTTCATGTATATTTTTTTTTTTTTTTTTTTTTGCGTATATCTTAAAAAATTTGTTTAAATCGCGAAATGCGGAGAAATACATTCACAACTTCTGATTATTGAAATAACCTAAATTTTAAACGCCTACCGTTATTTTAATGGTAAAAAGGAAAGGAGTAAAGTTTCCAAGATTAGAATTGGAAAAATTTGGACGCATTATATAGAATCATTACGATTAATGTAATTTGTGCGATTATCTTTATTTTTGTAAATTCTTTCACCTTATCACTTTACGTTACTCAT